GTAATCAATTATATATGGTTCAGCCTCACTAAACCATTAGCCAAGCTGTTTAAAGCATAAAGCCCGTAGAAAAGAACAGTATGTTCAGTATGTTTTGTGCTCCTTCAGGAGCTATAGAGTGAAAAACCTGTGGCTGTTTGGCATGTTATAACCCATCCGGGAGCACGAACTGCTGCTGACTGCAGGCTCGGTTCTCAGGAGTCCTTCCGTCCAGACCCTACTGAGATGTCAAAGACATCATAGCTTTTTGTACTCAAAATCTSTCTGCATCCTTGTGCACATAAATACCGTTTCCAAAGAACAACCCCGTGTAATTAAAGTTTGCATCAGCACAAATCCCAAGCTGTTTTAGACCATGCACGCACAGGAATGGAATGCATAATCACCATGGCCATCCTTTCCCCTTAATTTCACTGAGGGCTGGGTTGAAGCTATTTTGAAAGAAGCAACTATATCTCCTTCTTTAAACATTAAGCACTTCTGGCAGTAATAACTGCCTTGAAACTAACCCCTCATTAGGTCCCTATTAGACCTGTATAACTGCACTGACTTTATGCTGCTCCTGGTCCAAGAACAGGATTATCATCTCAGCACAAAGTTCTGCTCTTAATTAAACTGTTATAAATAAATAAATAACAACAACAACAATCCTCCAGAATAAATGGACTGATTTAGGATTTGCAGCAGTGTGTCCTGAAATGAGTTTGGCCAATTATCTCCCATCACATCCATAATTTAGCATGATAATGCACACTGTTGTACACAAAGCTACTTTAGCTGGAAAGACCAGCCCGCTTTACCCAGCAGCAGTACATCACGGTGACAGATAACTATTTTAATGAATTTAATACTCTGGATTCCTTATCCGTGAAAGAAAAGTATATTTGCACACAGGAATAAGGCACCTGCCTTGTACTGGAAATTGAAATAAAGACTAGGAAACCGAGTTGATAATCCTGAGCAATACCGAGCAGACGCAACTTCCATGAACATTGTAGGAGGTGCAAGAACTCAAGATGTCAGTGGACGATATTTTAAGACATAATGCATTTTTTTCCTACTGTTTTCTTTCAGTCTGTCATTTATGCAAAGGAAAACACTACACAAAAAATAAAGAAACTACTATGTGGGATCCAGATACCTGAATACAAGTCTGCAGAGCAGGACTTGCAGTGGCAATGCATGTAGGAGCTTGATCAAAGAAAGATCATTAATCATGCACATACAGGTTAGGTGAGGGGGAAAGGCCTGAGGAAAAACCGCATGAAAAATCTTCTTCATCACATAAGTACTTATATTATTGCTTCATAGCTTCTGATGGCCTTAAATCCAAGCTAAAAAAAATAAAGTGGTCTAGGGAATACAGCAAGAAGGGGAAGAGAAAATGAGTGTTTCATACACACATACTGTCACATACTGGTGACAAAAGAGCCATTAGACCCCTGGAACAATTTCTTGTATGGAAAAGAGCAGGAACTCAAGAAGAGCAAGACAAATATTTTAGCAGAATTCTTACTACGTACTATATTATTATTGGCTGAATACCAAAATACTCCACACAGTGATAAACAATTGTTCATTTTATTTCACTAAACAAAAACCTCATTGAGCGTTTCCTCCTACCACTGCATTCACTGGAACTTACTTGAAAGATACAGTTTTGGACACACATAAAATACGACTTACAGATGAATAACTGCAATGGCCTTTGTTTTTCATACTTTTCTAAGTTTACATGTCAAGAAAATGTTCTGTTCTCCCAGCAAGATGAGGACAGYGCAGCCAAGTATCGCATTAACCGCAGGTATCCGACACTCGCTGGGGTTCGGAAATAGCTTCTCTCTTTAACTGTGCAGGTTTCAGCAACAGGGCTGGCTTTCAGGGAAGCTGCTGGTGTGGGTTCACATATACATTCCCCTTCCCCTCATCGTGGTGGCCAGCCAGSAAAACCAGAAGGAATTCCCATATCCTGTCTTGTCACCTGAACAGGTACTTTTCCAACTGCTGTCTCTGCACAACACAATCAACTGGATATATGAACTGCTCTTGGTTTGCAAAAAAATATGTGCTAGTGAAAACAGTGCTGCTTTTAAAACAAATCAGTTTATTGGACTGATCGCAGAAGTCATGTGGGTTAAGGAAAGAGAAAAACCGAAAGYGTGCTTGTTTTGTAACCTTGTGTTGCACTAGCTTAACTGCCACGGTTGTGAACTACAGGGTTAGTGACTGGTCACAGACCCAGCCTTAAGCCAGCTCCTGTCCCGGAGAACACATCAAGGATCCGGAGCACTGGAGCTCACGTGAAAGCCCTCTGAAAAATGAACCCTAAGGTGCTTGTGACTGGAAAGTCCAAACCCTGAAAAATCCCTGCCCCATTTAGCTTTGGAAAGTGCGATCCAAATTTGGTTCTGTGAAATATGTGAAACATAATCACAGATTCTATGAAATATGTGAAATGCTAAGCATATTACAAGACTTGCGCACCTCACACCATATAAGGTGTTTACCTTGCTGAAATAAATCTGAAAAAAAAAAGATGCTACTAAAAGCAGCTCCTACTAGTCTGCAGTTATAAAGACCTCAAAATGTAGGAGCATAGCAGGAAAAAAAGGCAGGAATCCCTGCAGATTCGGGTCCCCACTTGGCATAACTGCTGCGCTAGCTCTGTCGACACCTCTGATACCTTCGATGGAGGCGCTGGGTCCCGGCCCCTCAAAAACACAAATCTCACGTTTCTAAACCCGCCCTTTGGGAGCCCCGGGCCCCGCCCCGCCGGGCGGCGCCACCGCCTCAACGCGCCCCCAACGCGCACGCGCACGCCCKCCTCCCGGCCGCGCGCGCTCCCCGCGAGTCACGCGCTCCGCCATTGGGCGGCCGCTCGCCGGCGGCCAATGGGAGGCTCGCGCTGCGCGTGACGCGGCGCCCGCCCTGGGCGCCATCTTGCCGGTGGCGGCGGGCGCAGCGCATCGCGGTGTGGGGCCGCCATGCCGCACTACCAGACGTGGGAGGAGTTCACGCGCGCCGCCGAGAAGCTCTACCTCGCCGACCCCATGAAGGTGGGGTGGGCTGGGGGCAGCGCCGGGGCCGGCCTCGGGCTCCCCCCACGCCGCCCAGGCYTGTTGCGCGGTGCCGCGGCCTGCGGGTGTCGCGCGGGGCAGCGGCCCCGGCCTCGCCGCAAGGAGGGAGGAAGGGAGGGAGGGAAGGAGAGCGGTTGTAGTGGTCTGGAAAGAGGAATGTCGTGTCCTCGCCATGCTGTGGCCCTCGGCGCGGCGTTAAAATGGGTCCTCGGCCGTGGTGCCCGCTGGGGAATGAGGCCGCGGCTTCGTGAAGGCTCCCTGCGCTCGCGGGAGGTGCCTCGAAGAGGATCTCTGAGGTTTGGCCTCGCGGGCTGCAAGGGGSATGAGAAGCGGTGACCTGTGAGGAGGTGGGGGGAACACTCCAAAAACCTCATGGCACTTGTGGGTGTAACACCCTTCCCACCTTTTCGGTGAAACAGAGCAAAATTGACATTTAACACGACTGACAGTGTTTTGTTTAGGGGACCATACTTCACGTGGCACTACTAGCAGTCTGTATGAACCCCCAGAACTTAATTTCAGATAAGATGTGCACTTGCCCCTTTGCAGACTGCTGATGTATTGGAAACTGTGACTRAAAGATTTCAGCTGAGTGAAGGATGCATTGAGGATTGGTTTATTATATTGCTTTGCAGAAGTATGAGACCCCTTTTGAAGTTGTCTTTCTAAAGATTAAAWTGAAGCATATGTTAGTGCTTATTATGCAGTCAACAGCAGTATACTAATGCAAACTGGAAGTTTTTTTTTTTCCTAAAGAAATTATTCTTCAGGTGTTGATTTTAATATGTGACTAAGGCTTTCTAGTAATGTTTTGGATAATGTAACTCATCCAAGGAGTTAAAGCAACTTGGATCTTCTGGTCTGGCGTTACAAATGCTGTAGCCAAAAAGCCACTTAAAAAAACTGACATGAAAGTGRTCAGTGTGCCTGGGAACTTGTGCTTAAAAGAACAAAACCCTTCACAAAAAAGGTCTTCACAGTTCCAAAATGATATTTAACATCTCAACATGATAAGTATAAACGATATTCTTGTGTGAAATTGCCACTTATCTACTGATCATAGACTGTTCTGTTTTAATCCAAATAAAGTGAAAGAGCCTGAGAGGAAAGGATGTCACTGCTTGTCCAGATAACAGTGCACGTCAGGACACTGAAAGAAGAGCAAGTCATGGCTGATGTGCCTATGTTCTGGGTCTGGAAAGACCAAGCTGTGATGGTGCTTTTTGTGAGGAACTGTTCTTGAGACAGAGTCTTATGAAATGAGGGCCTGCTTAGCTGAGGGAATAGTATGTTATTGTTCCATAGCTGTTGTGGTCAGGGAGGAAGGCAGTTTTTTAGCGTGGCCTGTCTTGTTTCAGTGTTCTTAAAAGCAGATACTGCTTTGTTTCTAGATGTTCTAGTTGAGACTGGAAGTAGTTGATAGGTGAGCTCAGGGGCTGGTTCTGCATTTAGTAACAAGCATTTCATGATTAGTCTGTTGCCTTAGAGTCTGTTTGCTTTTTGTGKTGGTCATCTTGAGAACTTTGATGATTTGAGAGTCTGGAAGGACTGCAGGTATAGGTTGAAACTCAMAGCAGGTGTCCCCAGTAGCAGATGTTTTGGAAGAGGAACTGAGTGCTTGCTTCTGGACCTCAGTGTAGCCTTAGTGAGCCTTCAAAGCAACTTAATTTGAAATAACTTTCTTCGGTTGTTTGTATCTCTTTACTGGGAAATTTTGGGTTGTGTCTTCACATCAGAAGAACCATTCAAATCTATCTGTTTTGGCATAACCATTAAATCCTTTGGAGGAGTTAACTGCAGTGACTGGAAATTCATTTTTTTTTTTAAGCTAATAATTTGGGTGCCGTGGAAGAAAATAAGCATCAATTTACTGAGCTTACTGCACTCGGTTGTCTCCTTTCAGGTCTCCATATCGTATCAGGTTTTCAAATGTTTCTTGTGTGTGTGTGTAGACAAGGGTTTCCACTTAGCTTTCCTGACATGTGTAACATGGCAGGACAGGCAGAGTGCTGTACGTTGACATGACCCTTGTAGCTTGTCTGACCTGTCATCTAGGTTCCTGCAACTTTTCATTTGGTACCTGCTGCACTGTAGTGGTTCTGAGTTTACCATGCCAAGCTTATCAGTGTCACTGTGATACTGTTTTAATGTTAGATAGGGAAATGCGAAGGTTCACTTTCCAAACCATTCTGGCTGTAGGGATAATGGGCAGCACCACTGAGATCCTGAATTGTCTTTTGCTAGTAAATACCCTGTACAGTTCACTGGTAGTGATTCCTGACCTAGTCTTAACTATCTTTACATAATCAAGAGAACTTTACCCAGGGTCTATAGTTTCAAATACCATATGTTTCATAGAGCTGTGCTAAACATAATTAAATATTTAAAATGACTTGGTGTTGTTTGTATTTTTTTTTTGTTGTTTTTTAACAGCTTGATCGTGCCATCTTGCCTTTCAGTGCTCTTGAGTCTGGACTTCCAGTTCACTTGGATAAATCTTAATTTAATGATGGTGTGTTTATCACCCACARTGGAGAAAACTTCTGGATTTCTGATTCAGAATTTAGCCAGTTCCTCACTGATGCCCATGAACAGGCCAGGGCATGATGGTCATTAGTTTTTGATCGCTTTACTTCATGAGTCTTGGTTGTCAAACCCTTGAGCCTTAGAGTCTGTCAAAACTAGCTCATCCTTAGTTCACTGTTCAGTACCTGGATAGAGAATTTGGTCTGTCAGAAATACTTCAGCTAGCATTTGGCATAAGAAGAGCATATGGTTAACTCTGAATATTGAACTGGATGTTTAGATTTCTCTTCAAATGTGTGCTACTTAGCACTTTTAAATATGTCTGCTGCCTTACAGTCTTTGCCTCAACTAAGAAAAGTCTGAGCTGTGTTAAAAAGAAAAAAAAATTGTTCTACTTGCTGCTGGTTGGAATTACTGATACTGAATTCTCTTTTTTCATTTTAGACAATTCTCTCTTTTTAAACCGTGCATGAATAAAGTGAAATGGTGATGAATGGATGTTCCTTTTGATCAAGGAAATGATATAAATGGTGAAGCAGTGTGTAATTCTAATAAAATGCATTCTGAATTTAGGAACTCTTCCTTCAGATAGGTTTTGAGAATTGCTAGATATAGATATTCAATTTTAATGTTTGTTTTTTCAGGTGCGGGTTGTTCTCAAGTATCGCCACTGTGATGGGAACCTCTGTATCAAAGTAACAGATGATGTAGCTGTAAGTAAGGAACATATTCTCAGTGCTCCATGTACCTCTTGAGGACTTGTGTTTTGCTGTCAGTCACCTTATGAGCTCTCATCCATTGTCTGGAGAGTGCCTGCCAATTTTTAGAAAACTTACTGTGTTCAACCTTCCTTAGTTGCTATGTCTCTGCCTGATGTTGAGCTACTGTTGAACTCTTCTTTGTCCAAGAAACATTTTTGCTTTTTTAATGGTCTTAAGTCTCAAGAGAGTTATTTTAGAGTACATGARCTATTGCTGATAACCATGATTTTACATCTTTTTGGGGAAATGAAGGGAAATATTTAAAAAAAAGGCTAGGAGTAAATTTGCAAGGCTCCATGCTTAGTAACTACACAGCTAGGAATGCCCTACTGAGTATGTGGGGAGAAAAGACTGTATGCAGTTAAAAAGGATTTTGATGTAGCTATTCCAGCAAATTCTGTAGCGTAGATGCAACATGCTTTTTCCWACTCCACTGATACCCTTCCTGATGATTTAATTAACTGTGTAGTCTTGTGCTGGTGAAAACTGCTGTACTGATATGGAGGCTTGCATGAGTGTTGTCTTGCAATTGCTCAAAGTAGTGACCACTTTCTAACATAGCTTAAGCTCTTTGCTCATGGTTATGAGGTGGTATAGCTCATAATCAGTGATATCACAGTGTTAAATGAATTACAAGATGCAGTAATTCATTTCAGAGAGCTCATRAGGATTTTAGTGTTTGTTAAAACTTATGGGATGTACACCCAAAGTGGAGATTTGCAGTGTTAGGCTAACTGCACAAGGAGATGGATCAGCTGCTTTTAACGATTGCTGACAACTTTCTGCAGTCCAGAATAAGCAACAGCAGTCTATCTTACTCTAATCTYCAGTGATTGGAAAAATTAAACTTATTTCTAGAAAAAGTAGTCTGGCATTTACATCCCAAATATCTGGGAGATGTGCAAAACTCCAGTAATGACACTTCCTCCAGGATAATAGGGCTTAGAGTGGGTGAGAGGCTGGATTTGAGCACTGGTAACAGAAGGAGGCAAAGGGCGGTTTAGTTAAGACTTCCATACTGGAAGGTTGAGTGAAGTGGATTCATGAATGGAGACTTTTCAGTTGCCTGACTTCTTATTCCACTTTTAACACAGATTTATAAAGAAGTGAGAGGAGGGAGAGGAGAGAAAAGGTTCAGAGAATCACAAAGTGGTTAACTAATTCCATAGAACTAATACAGCTGAAGGAAAAACTGAACTATTCTGCTTATTGTCTCTGAACTCAACCTGGTATTTAGTACTGTTAAACAGCATTAGAGAATGGAGTGCTCTTATTTTGTTCATTGCTGAAACAACCTGGACACTGTATTCATCCTTTGCATTATTGGCTTGTCACATAAAGAAATCCCTTTTAAACATGTGGCATTTTCCATGTTTTAAGATTTAGAAGCTGAATTTGCTAAGGAGGGGGAAATTTGCTTCAGTGGTAAACACTGAATGTATTTTGTCATCAGTATTGCTACAYGTGCTTCACTTTTCAAAATGGAAAGCAAGATATTTGAGAGAAACATAAAGGTTAATGCAGATCTACATCAATTTAAAAAAAAAAGACACTGGCAATCGTTACGACATTAAGTATAGGTTTGTATTGGTGCTGCCTCATGGTAGCAGCACACTACAGATGGAGAATGAGGACTCTCTTTTTTGTGCCAAGAACTAATTTGTTGTAACTATAAACAGGATAAAAATAGTTCAAGTGAAATCTAATATTTAGTAACTTTCTCTTACAGTGTTTGCTGTATAGAACAGACCAGGCTCAAGATGTAAAGAAGATAGAGAAATTCCACAGTCAGCTAATGCGACTCATGGTGGCTAAGGAATCCCGCAGTGCTGCCATGGAAACAGACTGAATTGCTGAAAATAAAATSAGTGCTCCGGTCATATTTCACTGGAAGAAAATATCACTTGGATTTGAGCAAATACTGGGACAAGGGATGCTTTTACATACCAAAGTGGACTGCTGAAAGCCTGAAGATTTTTTCCCCCAGACTCCACTTTGGAAAACTAGGAAAATAAATGCTTTCAATTGAAAGCTTATATTTATTTTTGGAAATTGAACAAGAAACTATTCTTACACRTTAAATATGCTAAGAAGACATGTAAATCTTTCTTAATCTACAGCGCTTTATTCTTTATTTGGTAGGCAGCAAGCATATTTCTGAAAGTTATGATACGGTTTCATATAGATTACATTGTGTTCATRTCTTATGCTGGTGTATTCTCACAGTGAGAGGTCTGTTAACCTGACTAATACTGTAGCATGACAACTGGATCTGTTAAATGATATACAGAAATGATACAAGGTTTTAGAAGAGCAGATGTTTTCCGAACTGAAATGTTAAGRTTGCCAATATATATTAGCACTGTCACTAGTGAGATTTTAGCTTTTAGTATTGATCTTGATCATAAGCTGTGCAACATGATCTGTGATGCAGTCTGTAGAACTGTTACATTGGCTAAATAATTAAAGTTCTGTACCTGAAACAGTAAGTAAAGCCTTGCTTGAGTAGAGTTAGATATCATATGGGAAGCTGCGAGTTTCTTTTCTGCTTAATGAAGTATTGATTTTTTTATATATAAAAGTGGCTTTTTTTCTAGTAGTGAACTACTTTATATGAGCAGTAGGGACTGCTTCCACCCTCGCCTCAGGCAGAGCTGAAGTATATCAGCAAGGCAGAATCTAGAAGCTGTCGCCCATTATGTTAATGAAAAAAGACAAGCAAACACTATCCAGACTCTCTCTGTCAGGAGCTTGCTAACTGCGCGTTTTCAGATATTGTGTGGCAGCTGGATGACAGCCAACTAAAGAAATGAATGAAAACCTGCTTAATAAATACTTAAATACCACTGTCAAAAATAGGTTTATGCTCATGTGGCTTAGTTTTTGTTTCTCGTTGTTACCTGTGGTAGGGTGATGGTAACTTTAATTGTCTTCTGCAAAAGCTTTTTGCTTGAAAAGCCAGTGCTGAAATTGATACTTGCTCTGCCTAGATCTTCCATACCTAAAAGACAGATGGGCTTTATGTGCAAATATGCTGTTTGTATAAGCAATCTTTTACTGGAATAGTATCTTGACTTAAACCACGCCATGAAAATGGAGAGCCATATGAAGACTTGTCTGTACTGGCATTTAAACATAACAAAACAATTACTTAAATAGCCACCTGCTCTCATGCAAAAATAATTGGAAGCAGTGGAATTCCCATATTTGCCAAGGACTCGAAACAAAATCCAGACTTGAATATTGCATTAAGTTACACTTTCAGTTGAACRTATAATTATTGCTTATTGCTTGGAAAATACCCCAGTGCTAGGTTATCACTGGTGACTTGGTTTGTAGTCCACAGGAATGACTGATAGATGCCTCCTTCTACTGATTTTTTTTTAAATACATAACTGAAATCCACTAAGAATGTTAAATTTTGTTCACAGTCGGTCTTTATTAAGATGGCATGATGCCGAGGCCTTTCTTTGATGCTTCAAAATGCTGTGTTAATATTTGTAATGTACCATGTTCACTATTTAAACAACTCATGTAAAGCACTATTCTGTACTCAATGATTGTTACACAAGTCATATGTGGGTTGTACAACCCCTGCTAACACACAGAGATTTAACCTGTTGGGTTAGCAGGTGTGAATGGTGCAACTGGTCATGCAGAGAAGAATGAAAATAGAGCCAGAACTGGGGTTGGGCCTGGTGCACCCAGGAGCCAAAGGACCTCAGCTAGGTACATGAGCAGTTTTAGAGCAATAGCTGTCAGGGTGAGGGGGTGGCTTTCTAGTTTTCTCACTTCAGAAACTATCCCTGTAAAACTAAGGGAATATTAATGCTAGTTTTCTAGAAGTATGTGCTGTTAAGCATGACTTCCACATGCTTCCAGAAAAACGAGGGTGATGCTGTGCAGTTGTAAGGTACAAGAACATTGGTAATAGTGATAAGTTAAAAGCTTTGAGTTCTTCTAAACCAGAAGAGGAGACAGAAGCTCCTTGATTCTATTCTGGAGTCTTCAGCCCCTTTGATACATCAGGGTGGGGGTGCAGAGGGACAAGAATGTGGGTAGAAAAGAATTTATTCTTATAAACTCACAAAACTCTGCTTCTTCTAGCTTATGCCTCTGCTGAGTGCACACGTGTATGCAAGCTGGTCCTTGTTTTCTAACAAACTTGTAGTCCATGATTTTCTCCTTCATTTTGACATCTACCTGGAGCTGTCTGTGAGTACATGAAGAAAACCTGAGTAGAGTGGCTGTTGTCCCCTCCCCAAAGAGGTGCATGACTAYGGTGGTTACCTGTCCCTGAGGCACTGAATCCCACAGCAGTCTGGGGCAGTTACAGGCTGCAAACAGGCACTTCAGGAGCCCATAGGCAACTTGTGGACTCTATAGACAGGTAAGTCTCTGCAGGAGAAACAGGAGCAAGATAAAATACCTGTTTTACTATGCTATTGCTTATTTTGTTGCTACAGGTTAATTAGCATCTGAAATAATGAGTTCTGTGGAGTTACCACAGAACTTCTTTGTTAATTTAACAAAGAGGTCAAGTSTTGTCACTGCATGAAGGATCTGGGTTAGTCTACTTCTAGAATTCTTCCTGCTCCTCCTGCTGTTCTCACTTCCTGGATTCTCAGCATTTTGATTCAGCTTCTTCCTTTGTGCACAGCTYTTCAGTAGATGGTTTCTTATTTCTCCTGTGAAACTGCTTTTGTTTTCAGAATTTTAAACCTGAGCTTATATATATGTAGCCAATTCTGTAGCCCTGTTCTGATTCTGCAGGAAGATGCTTAAGCAGTACAATATATACTGTAATGCAATATACACGTATTCAACATTTTGCTGTAATGAAGGTGAAGGAACCTTGGTTTCTTCCAGGCACAGTGAATAGCACTTAAGTGATCACTACTCTAAGTTGTTATTAAAAGATGAAGWCATGTAGAAAGTGATGGTCCCCTTGCTGTAGACAGAACAAATCCTCTTGCTTCATTCAGCATATGTAAGTAAGGCTGGAGCACGCCACCGTCCTTGGTGCACTGGTGCTGCTTTCACTGCATCCAGCTCCTGGTTTAGGGGCAGATGAACTTACAGCGCAGGAATGACACCATAACCWCCTTTTAAATAAAGTTTGAGGTCTACAACAGAGAAGATGTATTCAAAATAGGTGACATTTGGATTTGTATTTAATTACTTGCCTGTTTCTCATGGAGTTCGGCTTTTGAACCAGCCAATCTCCTTCAAGAGTCTGTTGGTGTTAGTGTGTGGCTTCAGGATGCGAGTGCTTACCTGAAACGGATCAATATTGCTCTTTTGTATGGTGTTCTGGGCTGAGATAATGTTAGACCCAGCTGGCTGAAGCAAAGCTGTCTTGGCCAACACAAGAAGGAATCATACTCTGCAGATGCCCAAAGAATGGTGTCTGTTAATCTTTTTTTAAATAAAGCAGACTATGAAAATGGTATTTTCGGGCTTTGCTTAGGTTAAGAGTGGTTTGTCTTTTAAGATACTGGAGTTTCTGTTTTCAAAAGCGATACCACTTTGAAGAAGTATGCTGCACGACTTGGATTAATGCAGCTTGTTTGCAGCTATTTTTATCTCTTAAAAAGGCCTTGAATGTTCAAAAAGTGCTATTTAAACCTGGGCAAGAATTGAATTGTCTCTTGCTGAAGACATTGTAAAAATATGCCTTTCATCTCTTGCTATGTATTCAGCAAATCAAGCGACTTCCAGAGAAACCTCTATGCCTCTTTGTGCCGGGCTGCCTTTCCTGAAGGCCCTTTGAGGAATTACCATGCTCTGGAGGCACATGTGGGCCTGTCGGTCCCGGCAGCTGTTGTTCTGCAGAGGAGAATGATGGCATCGTGTGTTGGAAGGTCTAAATCCAACGTGTGGGGAAAACGCGGCCAACACAAACACGGCCGTGGTGGGAGCAGGGAGTTAAGTGTTTCAGGCTGGTACAGGTCCCCTCGCTGAGCAAACGGCCCCTGGTTTCTAGTGCAGGACCCGGCTGTCCCCATTTTGCTGTGGCAGAGTTGGCTGCAATTCTCTGTTCTTTCAGGGGGAACTCAGTTACTTTCAGCCATCCACAAAACATCTYGAGCCACTGGTGCCATCTCAGAGATTCTCAAAAATGCACCATCTTCTAGCAAGAACCGGTTTACTCAACCCAGGAGTAGCTCTTATAAAGACAGCTCCTAGGAGCAGGGAATTTTTGCATTATAAAACTAAGACTGAAGTGTTTCTCCTAAACCTGTAACATTGCTATTTCTGAAATAGCATTTTCTATTTACGTCAAGATCAGCTTTGAGGATATTTTGCTTTCTTGCAAATTTAGATGTTATCCTGAGATTCTCTGTCACCTTTTTTTGTGATGATTCTTATTCATTTTGCCAGGATACAGAACATTGATCATACTGAGGGATCATACATGTTTGCACTTGTGTTTGCATGTGGGGTCCACTTTGTTGTTTTGTCCTCTGGAAGTGGTGTTTCTTCAGCAAAGGACTCACCTGCAGAGCGATGCCTGTGCTGAGAGCACCATCTCCCCGGGTCCWGGCATATGCTTGCAGTGAGAGCTCCAGAACTGGTTCCTCAAGAGAGGAGTGAGTTTTCTCAACACTTCCCGAATGGCTTTTTCTAAGTAGTACTGAGCAAATGAGAACTTGCTGTTCAGCTGGCTAGCAAAAACATGTATTTTGCCATGGTTGCTGATGCACGCAAATATAACCATGGATAAAGACTTTTCCCATCATTATGTGGCTGAAAGATGAAAGTCCCACCRCAGGGCGCTGACAAATCAGCGCTGGCAAGTTGGGTGTGCGCCCTACAGAAGAGGCCTCCCAAAGGCTCRTGCTCCCTAAGGGAGTTGGCAGCCAGAAGCGTGGCTAATGCCACAGCTCTGGCACATGGAGCTGCTCTTCTCCTGTGAACTGATGGAGAAGATACCTCCTCCGTTTGGAGGGTGTCCTTTTCAGTGAGGGAATTGATGGTTGGGATTTTTTTTGGCACCAAACTGCTGTCGGCAGTGCTGGCTTTTGGATGAGGTAGGGGCCAAAGAAGTAAGATTTGCTGTCAAACTTAGGCTGTACCGGTAACGTAGCATTCTGCCCTCTCCATCCTCTCCGTTGCACTGGTGCTTGAGCACCTCAGGGCCTTGCCATGCAGTGTTTACCCYGAAATGGCCACRTCTGTTTTTTGTTTGTTTTTGTTTTTTCTCTGCAGAACGAAAGATTGTAGATCGTTTCTCCCTAAATGTCTGAAACACTCTGGTACGCTCCCAAATGGAGTAACCAGCTCTGAACGTATAATGTAAGGTGAAGATCATAGCATGGACTTACGAAACTATGATATAGTTTAATATTCTTAAAACATTGATGATGGGAAGAGGGAAAGAACGGATGAGTATGTAAAAGGCCTCATGSCTGCAATGGAAACTGTCTTAATGCTCCAAAGCAACATGTTCTTAACGTGCCTCCAGAATACATCCAGACTATTGATCTTAACCACCAACCAGATAGACTTTTGCTGATGGTGAGAAAGGACTATGTTGATTCCATGATGAGTGTGTTTTCATTCCTCATTCTCTTGCCTCCTGTGCTGAACTTCTTTCTTTTCTCTTATTTTTGCCTATTTAAAATTTGTTCTTTCTCCCTAGGTCTTTTTTAAGACCTGGTTGTCCTATTCTGCCCTTGTGGGTGACCTTCACGGCTCTGSCTGGGGAAACAGGGATCGCGCTACCCAGGGGCATCACCCCCGCTCTCCTGTGCTCGCTGAGCTCAGCCGCGGATCTTGCTCTGGGCTCTAAGCGTCCGCGGAGGCACGTGCAGGCCCGTCCTGCCCCGCAGTGCTGCGCTGCCAGCGGGGAACGCGGGCAGCTCCCCGCGGCGACTCGCCATCAGCACCCATCTCCCCGAGCGGCTCCTTAGGCGGCAGCCAGAGCCCAGCCGCTGCCGGGCGCCGCCGGGGCCGCTCCCTCCTCCCCGCCGAGGCGGGCGGCCAAGGTGCCGCCCGGGCAGAGCCGCCGCTGCCCGCCCGCCTCGCCGAGGCACC